TTGGCAGTTTTCAGAACAGCATGGTATAAATTACTGAAAATTTCATAGTGAATGATAAAATTAAATATACAGCTGTATAAATAATGGAAAGAAGGAGGGAACATATCAACATTTTTCGGAACAAACGAGGAAGAATCGTCAGTAGGAAGAATCGGAAAACAATACAACAATCGTCAGCAGGTGGGAAAAGGAGTTCTAGAAGCATCACGAAAAGGTCAGTTCCTTGGGTGGCGCGGAAATGCGCCTCAGTGAAGTAGCATTTACTCAAAGTCATTTTGGTACTTCAGTGGCAAAGCGAAATGTATTTCGTTAAAACAAATTTTCATTGCATCGGTTTTGGTAGTTTGACAGGCAGTTGTTTCCTCTTAGTTACACCGTCGTTCCTTCCATTTCATGGCTGGCAGTTCAAGCAACTTTTGCTCCACTGCTCCTTCCGACACCCGGTGTCTACTGCAATTATTTGCAAAATGCATGATGTCAGATTTATGATTAGATGAGCACTGTTTTCGCGGCGCGGCAATCTTCAGCATCGTCATCTGCTTTGCTCTTTTTTTTGGCGCATTATTTTCTACTGCTTTGTGCGGTAGGTGTGCGGCGGCCTTCACTTCTCACCATTGTATTATTAGAAGTTCTTTTTTTTTTTTGCAAAAACGGCATTTTTGATAATAGCAGCAAGAAGTACAAGGTTACTTTTGCATGATGACCTTGCTGCTGCTGTTGCTGCTGTTCTTATAAACTTCGGTGCGGCCGCCAAATGTACAGAACAATTCCCGAATTTATTGCCCATACCCACTTAGGAGCTTCTCAATCGGCAGAGGTAAAATCGGTCTCGTCCTCATTTTCATTTGTTTGGGCCTGTCTCGTCTTGAGCGATCACTGGAAGTCTCTCTGTAATTAGCAACTGGATCCTTAGGCCTTCTATCCTATTCCTTAGACATACTGCTGGAAACTGATAAAATTGTAATAAAACTGACGTAGAACTGGGGTGAGCCCAGTTAGCAAACGTAGGACAATAACAGAGAGGTTCAATGAATGTAGCGTCTAGAGACAGCTTTTTTCACTGATTTAACTTATTGGAGAAAGCAGTCTCAGTTCATCCGTTTCAAGGGCAAACCGGTACAGGAGCAAGCCAAGGAATCAAAATCGCTACTGGCTTGCGTCTAGGCAACCAGCGAAAAAGGAAATTATCGACAGTCTTGAAGCCAGGTGCTTCTCAGAGGAATTAAATTCTGGAAGGGTTTCCTGAGTTTGACTTTAATACAAACTGTGACAAGCATGAAGTTTTTTTCGAATAATTTTTAAAATTCAGATTATCATTAGTCGCCCTATAAATAGACGATTTTTTCAACAGCGTCCTGTGGGACCTACAAGTTTTGTCTTTTCAGTTTGTTCCCACTGTAACATTTGCTCAGTAGAGCTGAAAGACACAGAACAATAAGATTTTTTGATTTTGAATTATTAACTCTGCATTATTTAATGAGTCATATCCTGAAATTCCAAGTATGTAGTTTATTTTAGAAAAAAATTGGATTTGTACCTAACATTACATGTTCTATCATCAGCTTGCTTTTAAGCAACCTTCAAAAGAGGAAATTCATCAACAGCGATTGCTGTGCGCATTTACTACCCTCGAAATAATTCCGACTGCCTTCAGACCTCACAGAGAATAAAAACCACGAGTTTTTAACTCTCGAGCTTTGAATTGCAAGACAGCAGAAGGAGAAAACTGATTTGTGGCTGTGTGCATGTCTGAGTATCAATTTTCCAAAAATTTCAGCCTTTTGTTATGTGCTGAGGACCCAAACAGAACAGATTAAGACCGGGGAAGACGCTAGTTTGTTCACTAGTCATTGTTTCTAATAATATCTTCTTCGACAAAAAAAAAGCTAAAAGGACGACTATCCCTTACATGGCTCAGTGGTTCAGAGAAATGCAAACATTTAAGCTAGAAGAAGTTTATGAGGCGAAAATTGTTCGAATCTGTGCAAAATTTAGCCAATGAAACCGTTCAGAGATGTCAAATTAAACTCATACATGCACTGCCTGACACCTAGCACATAAGTATTGTAAATTATAGAAAAGTTCCCGGTTGCATAAGTAGAAATCCAAACTACGAGTTAAAAACTCTTTTTCCACGTATCTAGGCACGTAAATTATGCTCATCTCACAGTTTATTGCCCATTATTTGTTACAGGAAATAGTATTTTAACTTCTTGGGGCATATTTTACACGGTCGATTGGTTGTTTATTTTTATACAATCTTCCTCATACAAGCAGAGTGCGTGAAGCGCAAGTGTACCCGTGCCTCCTCAACCAATAAAATCAGTCACCTCGTTTCATAAACGTTAATTATAATAGCTAGCTAGCTTAGTCCACGTTCTTACAATCGCTTTTTCCCAGTTTGTTTCGGAGGTTGTAAGCTTCTTTTTGCTTTCAACAGTTTGAACAGCGGCGAGAGCAACCTGCGCTTATTGGTACAGTATTGAACCACCTAGCAAGAGATCACCGGACTTATCAAGGAGACAGCGTGAAAGTTTTGGTGCTGAGCATCTGGGCATTAGTATGAAAACCAGCTAACTCAAGAATATCGGTGAATCAGCTCAGTTTTTGCTAAAACTCATTGCTTGTCCGTGTGGATTTCGGGAACTGTCCCTGTTTTTGCTTCTTT